CTTTAGCCAGAGAACTCTCTGGAACTATTAAAGAGATCCTGGGAACTGCCCAATCTGTGGGCTGTGGGCTGCAATGTTGATGGCCGTCACCCTCATGACATCATGGAAGACATCAACAGTGGTGCTGTGGAATGCCCAGCTAGCTAAGGAACTACAGATGAAAATATTTCAATAAAGGATTATTTGTTAACCCAAAAAAAAAAAAGAATAGATTTGAAGCATTTGAACACCAATGATCAAAGACCAGATGAGTTGTGGGATGACACTGGAGCATGAGATGATTTTTTCTTTTTTTATTCTTTTATTAAGTTTAATGAAAGTTTACAGAGACTTAGGGTTTCCAGTCATTCATTGTAGCACTTTCCTCCCTGCCCACCCTAATTCATTCTTCTCCTTGAAATGAAAAAGAAAAACTCTTTCATTGTTATGCAATCCTTCCTCTCAAGTCCACTCCACTCTGCAACCTTCACTCTGGACTGAATACCCGTTCATAAATCCCTTTCAGACAGATCTCTCATCTGTTTCAATGCCATATACATCATTCCTCCCCTCCTTTTCTGTCTTCCCTCAACCCTGATGTCAGTCCCGTTTTACAACAGTGGCCCTATGCAATATTTGTCCTTTTATGACTGAGATAGTTCACTCAACATAATATCCTCCAAGCTTATCCATTTTGCATAATATTTCATGAGTTCCTTGTTTTTCACTGTTGCATAGTGTTGCATTGTGTGAATATATTATCCATTCATTTGTTGATGGGCACCTGAGTTGTTCCCAGCTCTTCGCTATTGCGAAGAAAGTTGCAGTAAACATGGGTGTGCATGAGACAGTTTTTTCTTAAAAACCAAAATGGATGTCAGAAGAGACCCTGAAAATTGCACTAGAGTGTCAAAAAAGCTAAAAAAAAAAGATGCTGAAATAAAAGCTGAACAGAAGATTTTAAAAGGCATCTTGAGAAGACAAAGTGAATTACTATAACAGTATGGGTAGGGACCTAGAATTGGAGAATAATGTTGCATGGTTTAAAATTAGGGAATGTACGCACCAGGGATGTATCCTTTCTCCATACCTATTTAATAATCTGTTGACTGAGCAAATTATTTGAGAAGCTGGACACTCAGAAGGAGAATGGGGCATCAGAATTGGAGGAAGACTCATCAATCAATAAGTGCTATGCAGATAACACAGTCTTACTTACCGAAAGTGAGAAAGACTTGTAGTCCTTGCTGCAGAAGGTAAAACAGTGCAACCTACAATATGGATTGCATCTCAACATCAAGAAAGCAAAACAAAAGTGTTCACTTCTGGACTGACAGGCAACATCGTGATAGAGAAAAGATTGAGACTGTCAACAACTTCATCTTATTTGGATCCCCAACCAATAGTCTTGGCCCCATCATTCAGGAGATCAGGAGATGTATTGCATTAGGAAAGTCTGTTGTTGTTGTTATGTGCCGTCAAGTTGCTTGCGACTCATAGCGAACCTATGTACAACAGCCCTAAACTCTGCTCTGTCCTGTGTCAGTCATACTATCTCTGACACTCCCGTCCCAATTATCCCAGTCACTGAATCAATCCACCTCATAGAGGGCCTTCCCCTCCTGCGTTGTCCCTCCACCATCCCAAGCATGATGTCCTTCTCCAAGGACCAGTCTCTCCTCACAACACGTCCAAAGTATGTTAGATGGAGCCTCAGAATCCTTGCCTCCAAGGAGCCACCTGGCTTAAACCTGTAGTCAGTCAAATTTTTGAGGAGCAACAGTATCAAACTGAGGACTAAGGTGTGCCTAATTCAGGCCATGGTCTTTTCAGCTACTAACTATGCATCTGAAAGCTGGACAATGAGTAAGGATGACAGAAGAATTGATGCCTTTGAACTGGTGTTGGAGAAGAGCACTGAATATCCGTGGACTGCCAAAAGAACAAATTGATATGTCTTGGAAAAGGTGCAACCAGAGTGCTCCTTGGAGGCAAAGATGCTACAGGTTTGTCTCACATACCTTGGACATGTTGCTTAGAGAGATTATTCCTTGGAAAGGGACATCATGCTTGGGAAGGTGGAAGGACAGCCAAGAAAAGAAAGACTCTCAACCAGAGGCATTGATGCAGTGCCTACAGCAACGGGCTTGAGTGTGTCAGCGATTGGGAGGTTGACACAGGATAGGACCAGGCTCCGATCTGTTGTTTACACTGTCGCTATCAGCTGGATGGTGAAGAGATTGAGATTGTTCACAGCTTTAGTTTGCTTGGCTCCACAGTCAACACTCTTGGCACCAGCAGCCAGGAAATTAAAAGACATATTGTGATGGGAAAGTCTGCTGTTAGGGACCGCTCCAAGGTACTAAAGAGCAATGGTGTCACTCTGGAGACTAAGGTACACCTGATGCAGACCATGGTCTTTGCAATCAGTTGTTATGCATCAGAGAGCTGGACAATGACTAGGGAGGATAGAAGGAGAATTGATGCCTTTGTTAGAGCTGTGGGTGCTGGAGAAGAGTATTGAGAATACCATGGACTGCTAGGAAAACAAACAGATTCATCCTGGAGAGAGTTAAGCCGGGTGGCTCCTTGGAGGCAAGGATTCTGAAGCTCCATCTAACATACTTTGGACATGTTGTGAGGAGAGACCGGTCCTTGGAGAAGGACGTCATGCGTGGGAGGGTGGAGGGACAGCGCAGGAGGGGAAGGCCCTCTGTGAGGTGGATTGATTCAGTGACTGGGGTAATGAGGGTGGGTGTGTCAGAGACAGTGCGATTGGCACAGGACAGAGCAGGGTTTAGGGCTGTTGTACACAGGGTGGCTGTGAGTTGCAAGCGACTCGACGGCACATTACAACAACAAACAACAAGAGCTGTTCTTACCTCCGCAGCCCCTAACAACAACAACAACAACAGTAGGATACTAAGTAAAAGAGGTTCATGCTACATCCAACTGGGGATAATGAGCAAAGAAATAGCAGTAGCAACGACCTAGCCTTCCTGAGGTTGAGAACCAGGAAGGAGGCTAAGTTGCTGGCACAGAAAGTAACCGCTTGTGATGGACGAATTGCACCGAAATGGACGCGTAGAAGAACTGTTTGGACTTGATTATTGAAAGCAAGGACTCCCCCACATTCAGCCTTGCGTGGCTGGCGGAACCAAGGGAACCATCAAAGAGGAATGGAAAATTGTTGGCAAGACTGTTTACTGATCCTGAGAAAGTAACACCCCTTCCTTCGATGGAGTGTTTACTATATTCTAAACAGTTCCTCTTACTGACTTCCCTGTTTCTACAAATAGCACCATACTCCTCTTCATCCTCCTCCACACTTCCTCATCTCCACAAAGCTCACCAAGGCAGAGAAGGGAAGGAGGGCTTGGGGACACGTTCCACGGTTCTTGGATGAGTTAGAGTGACTACAGAATTCTACAAGAGAAAAGTCCAAGGGAACAAGGAAGGAGTGTGCCTGTTCTGTGAATTCTTGGTTCAGGAACGTGGTGAAAACTCTAGTTGGAAGAATGCAGGGATTTTAACTGGAGGTGTGGCATTGACGCAAGTAGTTGTTAACCTTACACAGGTGATTTCTTTTCTCCTTGTTTTTCTTGTTGTTACCCATAGCAACCCTGTGAACATTTGATCCGTACCCTTCCCTGGTCTGTGCCACCCTCATCATCACGTGATGATATACTTGAGCCCGTTCTTCCAAAGTCACTGTGTCAGTCTATCTTGTTGAGGGTCTTCCTCTCCTTCACTGACCCTCCAACTGACCAAGCATGAGTCTTTTTCCAAGGCCTGGCCCTTTCTAATAACATGCTCGAAATATGTGAGATGAAGCTTCACTATCCCTGCCTTTGAGGAGGTTTGGAGACAGGATGCATCCCGGACACACACACCTTTCTTGATTTTGAACCATGCAGTCTTTCCTAGCTCTCTTCTGAGGACTGCTTCCTGGTCCAAGGATAGGTTTCACATAAACACAATCAAGTGTTCTGGGATTCCCATTCTTCTCCAGGTTAACCACAGTTTATTGTGATCCACACAGTCAAACGCCTTTACGTAGTCAATGGAACACAGATAGACTTTCACTCTTTACTTTCTGCTAAGATCCAGCTGACATTGGCTATAATGTCTCTAGTGCTACAGCCTCTTCTAAACCCAGCTTGTATTTCTGCGTTCATATAGATAATTTTTTTTCATATAGATAATTTTTAATCACATATGTGGGTTTGTGGATTCACACCACACTTATAGACGAAACAGTTCCATCACCACAGAACCCCTTGTTACACTTTTGTACCCACAACCATCTCCCTCCTACCCAACCCACATGCCCCAACTCTGTCACCCCGCAGTCGTGTTGACTTCACGAAGCCATTAGTCAATGGGGACCATAACATGTGACAGATGAACACAGAGGAGAAGGAGAATTCAGGCACTTCCTTGTGCTCAGATGTAAGCTGCCCAGGGACCAGTAAAGAGTCTTTCAAACAGAAGAAAAGGATGACACGTTGTTTACAAACAGGAAAGTGAGTGTGACTTCCTGGAGTCCTTGCTCTGTCCCCTGGGAGGTCACAGAGAAAAGGCTTTGTGGAAAGCACCCCAGTGTCACCGTCCAGAGGCCCGGAGTCTAATCTCTCTGGTGGGAACCGTCTAACTTCATCCTGTGGAACCACGTTGGGATCTGCACCTGCTGTGCCAAGCTTCTGACAGGAACACCATCAGGGTCAGTAAGACCGCACCAGCCAGGCCCAGGCGAACACAGTTCTCCACCACATAATCCTGGGATGTGGGGGCTGAAGGAGAGAACGTGATGTCACTGAAAGGTGGCCAAGATCCTCCACAATTGGCATCCTTGAAACACAGCTCTCTCCCCAAGATCCAGGCCACACAGTGACCTCACCCAGCGCACCCCATGATTAGGAGACTTACATGACTGGGAACTCACCTCTGTGTCTGAGACACTGATGTCTCTGGGGCTTCCTTTAATTAAGAAAGAGCCTTTCACAATCTAGGCCTCTCTGTACCGGGCCAGAGCCGACTTCCTCAGCTTGAGGAGCCCTTTACACCACTTTTTCTTCCTCTGGACTCCTCGTCTTGCCTCCTCTGGCTCTCTTGTCCTCTCTCCTTGAGCTCTCTGGGACCCCTGAATTGATTCCTGTCATCCCAGACAACACAAGAACTAAATAACCAGGGGATGCTAGAGAACTCAGCTCAGCCTTCGGGAAATACGTCTCAGGATTCAGAGCAGGTCACATGCCTCTTCATACACGCATCCACCTGAAGGATACGTGGGAGTTCGAGGTCATGACAGCCAACCCCGGGCTTAGAACAAATCAGAAGACGGGGTCTGAGCTCCGCCGCATGCAGAGGAGGGCAGGAATCGTGGTCTCCTGCAGCGAGCAAGGCCAACCCTCACCGACCTTGAAGTCTCTCCACATCCTATTGACTGTACATGGTTATATTTCTTCCTGCATTAACTCCTGCTGGATATGAGACCCAGAAGATGCTGTGACTTTAGCTCGGGTGGCCTATCCTGAAGGAACTGCACTATTAACCCAAAGCTCTGCATCTCCGGTGTTCAGATCACCAGTGGTTCTGAGGGGGGAAAGTGCTCTGTTTCCCCCCTGTATCTCACGGCCACAGAAACCTCACTGGAGGGACAGCTGTGAGTCAGTGGCCATGAACTGGGCTATGAGTGAGGGCCTGTTAGATATGCTGAGGCTCAGAGGGACCATTTATTATTAATTCATTCAATCGACATCGACTGAGAGCCAAGCGGTGTTCTAGATCCAGATAGTACAAGGCGAATAGCACAGCCTCTGGCCCCGAAGCCCTTACACACAGAGGCAATGTGACCAAATGCAGTGTGTAGGAAAGGGGTCTTCAATCTAAACGATGCCTGAGCCCAGGATTGACTTAGGAGGCTAGCGGCGTGGGCTCTTGAGTCAGATAATCTTCTTTTTTTTTTTCTTTAAGACTTTATCAAAAGAGACAAGCCACAGATGAAGGGAAATCTTCAGAAATTACATCTCACATATTATAGAAAATACAAGGGGAGCTCAGGTGGCCTAGTGGCAAGAAGCTGCAACTACAGTCCCAGAGGTGCACGGTTCGAATCCACCAGATGCTCTGCCGGGGAAGGAGGGGCAATCTCCTCCTGTACCCGTCAGATCTGATTTGACGGTACACGCACACAAAACTAATAAAATTTAAAAAAATAAATTAAAAAAAGAAAATACAACAGTAAAATGAACAATAAAAATCACCAAAGAAATGGGCAAAGAGTTTGAACAGCACCTTCATAAAAGAATATATCCAAGTGGCTTGTAAATATATGGGTGTTGTTCATGATTGTGAACTACTAGAGATATACAAATGAAAAGCACAATAAGATAATATCTTCCTCTAGCTAACAGGCCCCATTAAAACAAACAAACAAAAATAAATGTTGGACAGCATGAATAAATGTTGAGGTTGGCATGCAGGAACTGTTTCTAAATAAAACCTCTTTTTTTACTAAAATATATATATATATATATATTAGTGCAGATGTGAAGAGATTAGAATTCTTATTCATTGTTGGTGGGACTATAAATTGTTGCAACTATTATGGGAGAAAGCAAGACACTTTTTCAAAAATAAGACCTTGTTGTTGTTAGGAGCCATTGAGTCAAATACGACTCATAGCGACCCTATGAATCAAAAAACCTCAACCCAGTCCTGTCCTGTACCAGCCTCGCAGTTCCTGACACACAAGAGCCCATTACAGCAGTCACCACGTCAATCCGCTAGGTTGAGGGTCTTCTTCTCTTTCACTGACCCTTCATACCTCCCAACATCACGTCCTTCTCCAAGGAAGAGCACCTCTTAGCAACATAGTCAAAGTATGTGAGATAAAGCCTCAACGTTCTTGCCTCCAAAAAGCCATCTAGCTGTACCCTTGCCAAGACATATCTGTTCATTATCTTGGCTGTCCGTGACTCAGGCAATCCTTTGCTCAAACCCTAGTTGTGCCGTTCAATTGCAGTGCTGGGGTGTGTGTGTGTGTGTGTGTGTGTGTGTGTGTGTGTGTGTGTGTAATTAAATGGGCTGGTCCCCTCCTTCTTTCATCCACATCTTGTCCAAGTCCTCCGCTCACTAAACTCTATCTGAGAATGTGAAGGAGATGAGGAGATGGCACAGGGAGATGGGCCCTCTTCTGCTTCCCCATCTGATGGGCTGAAATCTCTCCCGGCAAGAAGGGGAAAGCCAGGGAAAGGATATGAACAGGGATTGCTCACCTGGCATCACCGTCTCCAAGGGGCTGCTTGGGTGGGACAGCAGGTAGGGGGAAGTGTCAGATGAACCATAGCATCTGTAGTCCCTCCACTGGGCTGAGGTCACAGGACTCAAGGTGAAGTTGGACTGATGTACTTGACCTTGCTGCTGGGCTCTCACACGAAGGGGCAGATCTGATCCTCTCTCATTGAGCAAAAGGAAAGCGTCCACTCGGTTTGGTGACATGCACTGGAGGGTCACATTCTCTTCTGAGGTCCCTGGAAGGCCCGCGGATACCCTGAGGATGGGTGTGAAGGGGAGCTGTCCTAGAGAAGAGACGGAGACGTGAGGGCTGCCCTGTGTTCACCTCCAATCCGAGCTGAGAATTGACGAGGTCACTGTGCTAAGAACCTCACAGACTTTCCCTCTTCTTCTGATGGCTGTGAGTTTGTCCCTCTCTGCCTGGCATCTCCCTTTCCTGCCCTGTGTCTCCGGTGTCTGAAACCCCACCAGGTCAGTCTTTGGCTACCCTTCCCACTTGATGTCCCCCCTTTCTCCAATGTTGGAACCCCACCAGGTCAATCCTTGGCAATCCTTTCCACTCGGGGTAACCCTGCAGAAGCTGTCCAGAGTGAGAGCAGTGCATGATCCCTTCTCAGTTCCTCACCTGAGACCAGGATGTCCACAGGCTCACTGGGGGGTGACCACTCTTGGGAGAAATTGTATCCACCATGGCATCTGTACTGGCCCCCATGGATGTGGCTCATGGGACCCAGGAGGAAGTCAGCCCGAGACAGCCCAGCCTGGGGCTGCCCAGAAGGAGTCTGGGAGGGGTGCAGTGTCCCCTCCTTAGACAGAGCAAATCGGTCATATCTGACATCAGAGTGACACGTGAGGGTCAGGCTCTCTCCAGAGGCCACAATGGGGCCGTGATGGGCCCAGAGAGAGGGCTTCCTGTACAGTCCTGGGAGAGAAAGACAAGTGATGGAAGTGAAGAAACTGGTTCTTCTAAACAACTCTCCCCTTCCTGCCGGGGTTTCCGCGTCAATGTTTTTGTGTCTGTGTCTCTGGCTCAGTTTCCAGGTAGTCTCCCCTCCCTCACTGTCCTTCCTCTCTCAGGCCTTAAGTCATTTGAGAGCGAGGCCCTGGCTCCTCACCTGTGTCCGGGAATTCCAGGATGTCACTGGAGTCCGACCACATATAAGGCTGGGTCCTGAAATACCCATAGCATCTGAATGTCCGCCTGTGACTGGTCACAGGGTCCACAGGGAACACGGCCTGATAACGTCCACTGGAGAGTTGCTGTGAGTCCAGGGTCCAGGAGCGCCTGGGGTCTCCCTCGTCCAACAGAACAAACCTATCAAATCCCAACCGTGAGCCGCACTGGAGGGACATCTTCCCGCCTGGGGCCTCCCCAGGGACGGGAACGGCTGTGAGGGTGGGTTTATCAAAGTCTCCTGGAAGAAAAGGGGGGAGATGTGATAAATGGGGTCTCGGATCTCCTTCCAGATCACCCTGGGCTGCGCTGTGAGAGGGAAGACACCTGTGAGACCAGACCCCTCCCCACAGGGCAGTCCTGAGGCGGGAACCACAGCGTCCTCTCACCTGTCATCACCAGCTCCAGGACGTCACTGCGTGCTGAGCATCCGGACTGAGTACAGTACTGACAGTGGTATCGCCCTGCATAGTCCACTGTCATGTGTACAATGAGGAACTTGGCCTTGTCTCTGGGCTCCAGTGGCTGCTGCGTGTCCCAGGGTTCTGGGCTTCCTTCTTTGCTCAGAAGGTACCTCTGAGCCTCCAGGGACGCCTGACACCAGATGGCTCCTGGATGCCTTGAATAGATCAGAGGTCTTGGCTCAGCCCAGAGGGTGGGCTTGGGGAGGGTCTCTGGAAGGGAACACAGAGGACTTGAATGAGGTCGTGTCCTGGCCTCAGTTCTTTCTCCTCAGCCCAGTGTCCTCACGTGTCCCCATTACCCAGGAAAATCTGGAAGTACTCACCATGCTGTGCTCGGATCCTCTGACTCAGACTGAACCCTGAAAGAGAGACTCACGTGAGACACGTGGCCCCGGCCCCTGGGCATGTCCTCTCCTGCCCTGCTGCCTCCTGAGGCCTCCGGTCCCCTCCTCTTCCCCACGTCTCACCAAGGCAGAGCAGGGACACCAGGGCCACTGTCATGTTGTTTCTTCTCTCTGTTTATCCTATGGTAGATGACGGAGACCGCAGCTCTCGGCAGGACACACAGACGCACAGTGTGTGACACTCTGAGGATATGCCCTGTCCCTCATGGGGCTGTCACGTCAGCCACCCCCCAGGAAGAGGAATAGCTCCTCCCAGCAACCCCGTCTCAGTTCTGCAGAACTGGAGCTGAGTGAGTAACACTCCATGTCAACACATTGCAGACACGAATGGGGTCTCTCTTATCTCCACCTAATGTCAACATGCTGTTATGATGCCAATTCTGAATGACGCCTCCCAGGCTGCATGTGACCACGGAGACTCCACTTCCCTTCCCACACCCTTTGGCTGCTGGGTTCACCTGCTTCATCCAACATTCACCCAAAAGACAGTCAGGACTCTGAGGGGATCAGTAACACACCCTGATGAAACTCAGTTCTGAGAAAACCCAGCCTTTCAGAACGTACCCAAGATAAAGCTCAGAATGAAGAAAGTGTAGACAGAAGGGCAAATGGGAAAGAGTACTAACAGAGAGGAGGGGAAGAAATGCGATTATATGTTGGGTATTATCATTAATGTGTCTCAAACCCATTCCTAAGATGACCTAGAAAGTCAAATACAATTGATTCAAGATCATGTCTTAGTTCCTGTGGACTTTACCTTAATTCTCTTCATCCTCAATTTGACCTTAGAGGTGAGTTACTGTTGGTCTGACCCACGGTCCATCCCTGGCCTAGTTTTGCTCTGTCTGACACACTTTGGACATGTTGCAAGGAGAGACCAGTCCTTGGAGAGGTACGTCATGCTTGGGAGAGTGGAGGGACAGCACAGGAG